TGGTGAGGCGGAGGAGGCTACGGACAATAGTCAGTAATGGGTCCGAGGAGGGCACGCAGTGACATGGCGGGGCGGGGTGGGCAAGCGGGTGTCGTCGTCGTCGTCGATTATGACGCCTGTGATCGAGGGACGAAGAGGGGTAGGTCGTTTCGCGTCTTGTCTCGATCCTCCCCTTCCACGCCCCTGCCCTGCCCTGCCTGTCGTTGGGGAGTTTGGTGTTGTCGACTGACCATGATGGGCAACTTCCTCTGCGGTGGGCGAGTATTTCGCTAGACGTCGAGAGGATGATGCAGCGCAGCCGGGACGCGAGCGAAATGTCGAAACTTGGCTGGTCGCTGCGGTTGTTGCGGTGCTTGCGGGCTCGATGAGTTTTTTCAAATTCGTGTGTGGCCGCTACATGCGAGTGCCTTGAGGCGGGGGCTAGCAGTGACCTGTGCGCTCTGATCCTTGCTGGGCACCGGATCGCACGTGACTTGGAGATGACTCAGCGTGTCTTGCTGGAGGGCATGTGGCATTCCTTCGAGCGAAATTTACATAGAATGGGGTGTTGTCGGCTGGACTCTTCTCAGTATTGATATCGATGGCGTTCTTTTCTGGCTAGGGAGTCATCAGCGCCCAGCGCCCATATGACGTGCTCGGAAACACTCAGTCAAGTTTGTCGGTGGTGATCTTGAGCTCTTTGGGTTGAGTGAGACTGGGGCTACTGGGCCGTTGAGTTTGCACTGTAGCGCCGCTGCGTACCTGGTGAAATCACACTAGGTCCGTGCCTCATTGATCAAGTGCTTCAACTTACATAAGCCGCCTGCCTTACCAATAATGGATGTATGTAGGTCGGTTTAGGAAACAGTCGACTCAGTTCTGACCTGACCTGGTGACGGGAGATGATGGCGTTGACCGTTCGACTCGCACTAGCATTGCTTTGATACGACAATAGACGCATGACACCATTAGTTGTCCAGGCGTTCAAAAGGTCGATAATGCCAGACACCGGCAAGTTACCTCAGCTTGATAGAAAGTAAAGAGTTCAACCCACAGTGAGCCATGAGCTGGACTATATCAGGCGAACGTCAGCCTGCGAGCCATCCAGACAACAACAAAACTAAGATCACGACAAACTTCAAGCGTCGTGGGTGACAAAGCACTGGATTGGGGAAAGCTGGAGAAAGCAAATGAGAAAGCCGATGCTTTTAACCAGGCTAGCATGCCTCTACCGAGGGGCTTGCTTAGGCGAAACCCAAAAAGGGGTGGTCTGTCCGCCAAGGTCCAAGAGAGACCAATCATGTGGAACCTCAATTTGCCTGCAGCGGGCCATTCCTCCTCCCATTTTCCGTGGTCCTCCACTCAAGGCCCACTACCACCGCGCTGGGACCAATAGGATGTACCGGTAGGCCGTGGCTCCCCAGCTCCTGCAGCAAAAACGAGCAAACTACGTTGCAGCATGCAGGAGCAGAGAGCACGCAGGAGGTACCCAGCACCTGGCAGCCCAGCATCCAGCATTCAGCGCACCCAGGAGCTCATCCCGCACTGGTCTCCCCCGTGCCCGCTCGCTCACAGCACAGGCCTGCTGCACCGGGAAAGGGTGAATGGGCTCCCCTGCTTTTTGCTTGTTTCCCTTCCCGCCTTCGCCCTTTCCCAACACCAGGCCAGTCTCCAGACTTCAGACTCCAGACACACTGGCCGTCTCACCACCTCCCGACCGAGACCGACGCTCAAGCCGCAGCACCCTCCCGCTTTTCCATCCCTTCCGACCTCACCGACGCTCTTTCCTTTGTCGCCGTGTTGACACTCGTCGCGGCGGAAGACACATTGACCCTGCTGCTGTGTAAGTCCTGACCTCTCGTGCAATCTCCCTAGACCCCGGAAGACTCCTCGTACCAATGGTGCTCAATGTCACACTGCTTGCTGTCGATGCAAAAACGCGTCCAAGCTGATGCTGTCGACTGCCCGTTGGATCAATTAAACTGATACGAGTATTGTTGAATAGCCTTGAGAAGTAGCAGCCACACGCCCTCGACGACGAACTTCAGCATCATCGTCCTCCCTTCTACTTTCACCATCCATCCTACGACCCATTGAGGACCCAATCCTCACACATTCATCCATCAAACGCGACCCCTCCCACGTCGCCTTTCACTTTGCTCAAACAACGCCATCACTTTCACTTCCATCGACCCCTTCCTCTACCAACCTCGACAATGCCTCAGTACACCTCCCGCGATGTCGGCGATCCGTCGCAGATCAAGAAGAACAAGCAGTCCATGGCCGACCTGAAGCTGAGGCGCCTGACGGAGCTCAACAACCGTCTGCGCGAGGACCTCGAGCGCGAGCGCATTCCAGTGAGCAATGCTTCTAAGAGGTAAGCAATACACTACTGTCCTAGCGACAGAACCATCCATCGATGATGATCCCTGATCGCTCGCGTACTAAATTCCGGACAGCATCATTGCCTACTGCAACGGCACGAGGGATTACATGGTTCCCTCTGTCTGGGGATCTGTTCCCCGGGGCGAGGACCCCTACGCGCCACAACAGAGCGGCGGATGCTGCGTATTGATGTAGTAGAGTCAAATGCGTAGATCCGACCACACCCCAATTCGGCGGATACGAAAGACTTATTTTCCTGTCGACCAAGAAAGGACCCAGATGCTAGCCCCACCGCCACCATGAACCAAAGATACCACGGGGCCCGCATCGTGGGCGAGCGATCAGACGAGATACTTACTACGGCTTATCGGGACCGGACCGGACACGGAGAAAAAGAAGGCAGGAGGACAGCGATCGCACTAAATACGACAGCAAGGCGTCTTCCTTATTGACCACAAGCTTGAGCACGGCGCGAGACGGGAGGATGACGCGGAGGAGGCAGGAGTCGGGAGGCAGCGATGGCATCACAGCTACGATAATGCTTCCACGTCGGTTCTTTTTATTTTCATTTTGTCTACGAGCACGCACGGCACGCCCGTCTGAGGGGGGGAGGGCGTAACAGCGAGAGGAGATGGGCCGAGGGGAGGAGTATGAGAGAGGCTTTTGTGTCTGGTACGGCCTTCTGGAGCATGGGAAGGCAGCTCTTCAGCATGTAATAATTTCTCTTGGTGTCTTGTACTTTTTTCTCACCCTTCCACGCCCGTCGTCCCTTCCTCATCCCACGACGGGATGACCCTCAGCCCCATCTCGTGTGCCAATACAGCCAGGACCAATTCTCTTACCACGTCCCATTCATCCCACCGTTTTAATGAGCTTATCAATGAAAGGTGTCATTGGTCGGAGGCTTTTGAAAACATTTCAAGGGTTCCGGAGCAGGAGGACAGCAGAATGACTCGGACGTGGCACGTCTCGTTGACTTCGATTGATTGCTTGGGCAGACGTCGAGTCACAAAAGGAAAAACATGCAGCTATCGTGTGCATTGTGGCGGCTCCCTCAAATCGCACCGATCAGAGCCACTTGAGCAAGGAGCCAGGGCCGAGCCGTCACTCAAATGCATGTCAGCTGGGTTCTAGTGGATCAATGGTATCTGTCTAGTTGTGTGGCGGGTGTGAGACATGGCACCTTGCGTGATGGGGGAGGATGTAAATGCAGTGTCGCGGGAGGGGTCAGTGATGTGCATCACCGGTCCGATGACTGTCAATCAGATTCTTGCCGAGCACCTCCGGATTCCAGTGTCGATTGCTACTGTCCGACGCGTCTTCTTGGTTGTCCCGGGACTCATGATTTTTTTATCTTATTTTTACTTTCTCCCTCGGGGAACTGGCGGTGTCAGCGCCCCGACAGTCGAGGTATCTTCTTTCCGCACGGGAATGACCAGCACTTCCGACAACCTCCACTCGACAAAGCTCTACATCAGATTTGCTACTTTTTTGTTGCGCACCACCAGGCATGCAGCACGTTTCCTTTTCCTGATGGACTTGGCCAGGCGCGCGCCCGTTCATCACCCCGCACAGCCTCTCGGCCATAGACAGCCATGGCCACAATCTGGACTGCGCTTGACGGCTTGACCAGCGAAAAGGTTGGGCATCGAATCTGGCCCGGGTCAGGATGGCTGTGAGGGCGGAGATCCTTCCTTCCTCTTGGCTCGAGGCAGTCAATCAGAGGGTCATGTCGAATCACCAAAAAAGTTCATTTGGCTCAGTCCTGAATGGGGATAACTTTGAAGAGAGACAAGTTATAAGCATGAGTACCGTACATTACGCAACCCTGAGGAAACGTGCTTCGCTTGGATACCTCCTGGCCCGGCATTGTACTGAGGATGTTTATGGTCCTACGTTGGAGCGATATATGTAGATCATTGGACATGGATGTCTGGTTGGAGCCTCCAGATATCACCTCATCCAATGACGATTGCGACCAACAGGTGTGCTTGGGTGAAATCTTTGTTAGTATATAGTTCTTTAGCGCAATTTCACGCCTAGCCTTGCATCTACCATATTGATGTTCGTTCTCCCGTGTTCCTAGCCCTAAGCTTGCCCATAAGACTTAACGTAGCCTACCAAGTGCACAAAGGCAAGATCTTCTGGATTTAGCACGATCTCATATCGAGACTGATTAGTATACATCTTTAGTAATAATGCTGACTTTGCCATCCTGCTTTCCAACTATACCCGTTATTTCTGACATGCTGAGAATAAGAAGATTTTAGCACCGCGTTGCTGTTTAAATGCCCGAGTTCTGCTCTGCCTGACCAGTCAATCCTGACTCAAGTGAGTACACAAGTACTGAGTAAGGATGCGGTATCAGGTCATGCCACACGACTAGCAATGAGAGCCCAGTAGAGTCCAACAGTGATCTTACAGCGGGCAACAGGTGGTGAACGACCGCCAGTGAGTGGTACCCAGGGCATCGAACACCCCGCGTCCATGACGCTAGGCTCATGCGATGAGGCACTGACGGCCCCTCCACCAACTCCTGCACTGATGAAGCAGCCTCGCCAGGCCCTCATCGACACACTGCATTTCATCCAGTCCAGCTCTGTCTGCGGGTGATCTTTGTCGACTTACACCTTACCATGGCCGACGAACCGCTCACCTCGGCCGCCGCCACGGCAACCACAGCAACAACGACCGCGGCAGATCCCCCCCCTCCCGTGACGCACCCCGAATCTGACGCTCAGGCTGCCCCCCTCCCCCTCCCCCGCATCGCCATACGGTTCTGCACCCAGTGCAAGTGGATGCTCCGCGCCGCCTATGTAAGCAAAGACACCACGTCCCTCCCCAACGTCATCACAGCCCAGATATCAGAGTCTCAGAGGGCTTTCTCTCTCTCTCTCTCTCTCTCTGCTCCCGCATGAAGATCCCAGACGAGCACCGACGACATACACATAGTCCCCGTCACTGACCGCAAACCAACTCCTCCCCACCAGTTCGCCCAGGAACTCCTCTCCACCTTCTCCACGTCCCTCGGCGAGGTCGCCCTCATCCCCTCCACAGGCGGCACCTTCACCGTGACCATTACCACCGCAGCCGACGCAGACCCTGCGAGCACGAGCACGAAGACGCTCTGGGACCGCAAGACGGACGGCGGCTTCCCTGAGACCAAGGAGCTCAAACGCCGCGTCCGCGACGTCATAGACCCGTCGCGCAACCTCGGCCACGTCGACCGCGATCACGCCCGGCCCGCTCACGCACCCGCCAGCGCCGACGCGGTCGCCATGCCGTCTACCACGTCTACCGGCGCCACGGCCGAGGCGCCTGCGCAGTCGCAGGGGGCCGCCCTCGATGACGAGGCGAGAAGCCGCATCTCTGCCGCCAGGACGAATAAGGGCCAGGCCGCGCCGAGCGGCGTCGATGGGGCTTCTCTGGTCAGCGAGCTGAAGGGGCCCGGTCCAGCGCAAACTCAGGCACAAGCATCACGAGAGGGACAGACCGGTGAAGCCAAGGCTGTATGCGAGGACTGCGTGTAGAGGCCTTGTCTGCCGGGCCCCGACGTATCCGACATTCACCTCATAGAATAGACGCACTTAGAAAGGTCAACCCGGGTACGGCATTCCCTCGTCGCATCATGAGCCGAGGCACACTATCTCGCGTAGAATACATCATGAACCATCGGATCCATCTCGTGAAACTAAAGTACCATGCTCCCGATAGGACAACAGAACGACTAATAAAAGCAACTCGACAGAAGGAGAAACAAGAACAGGCAGGCAGAAGGAAAGTGGCAAGTGGTCATATGCCCAGAGACGGATGCACCGCACTGTCATCATGGCATCACCTTGGCCTTGGGGATCTGCGAATGCTGTGGTCACCCACCCCACAGATTGACCATCATTTTATCGTACAATATCGACCGCATGATCGCTGGTACTGGCAACCCTACCTGTTGGCTCTGAACCCATGTCCCCCCACCGTGTGTACCTCGACTGGGCCATCCGTTATTGGCTGCCATTCAATCTCACGAGGCGATGTAATTGAACCGCTTGCTACAGAGCATTCATGGGAAAGAATTCTCTGGAAGACGGCATCGCACATCTCAACAGAACGCGAGATGCACATTCACACTGCGATGATTGTGTGCAGCCATTTAAACTTGAGGAACCACTCCGCAACCAAATCCACATGGTTTTATTTGCGCAAGTCACATCAGCCGCGCGTAGACCGGGACCATGTCAAATTCCAGTGTTTTTTTTGTGTGGTTATCTTCAGCTACTAGAGACAGCCGTGATCGTGATCAGAGTTGCGCGCGATGTTCGTCGTGTCAGTCGGTTGGGGTACGGGATTATATGGGGAGGGCGAGGCTGAGCATCCCGATGGGAGAGGAGACGAGTTGGTCCACCAGGCACGGAGGACGTGTGCGCTGGAGAATAGTGGAGCGTTGGGTCGTTGAAGAGGAAGCGTTGGTCGGTCAATCCGAGTGTCACAGGGGACGTTCGATGCGAGCGTTGCAGGCGATTAACGACGGCCAAACCTAGAAAAAGTAAAACGTTGGCATAAACTCTTTCATGACAGAGGTGCAGGCAGGCATTGGCTGCCGAAAGGGGCTCTGAACAGCCGCGCGAAGGGTTACGAGACACTTACTTTTGTTTCTTCTCAGCAGGCTTGAGGATCTGGAATGCAAAGTACCACGTTAGCAATGTACTAAGATGAGGCATCTGCCACAGGGTGCACCGACCTGGAATGAGCACAGAAGACTCTCGTCCACGCTCATCATGGCTCCTGCGTTGTCAAACTCTCCGCAGTAATTGGGCGCACTAAAGAGGGTGACGAGTTGGCGCTTGGAGAAGAACTCATATCCATCCTCGACGACCTGGTGAGCACGGCAAATCAAGTCCATGTCATGCTTTTGCAGGAATCGGGACACAACATCGGGGCCAAACGTGAAGGACACTCCACGGTCGTTTTCGCTCCAGCCGGTGATATCCTTGTCGGGATCAGACCACAGCAGATCGCAGAGCAGGCCGCAGTCAGGAATCTACAAAAAAAGAGACGTGGTTAGTTGATTGTGATCTGGAACGGGCTAGGCGTAGGCTCGGCGGGTTAAAGGTCACATACGTCGGTGGGGCGCATGACGCGGCGGATTTGCTCCATGGAGTTCAGATCCGGGCTGAGTCCGCCGTGCATGGTGAAAATCTTCTCGTCAATGATAGCGGCGATGGGCAGACAGTTGAAGCAGTCGGTGAAGGTTTTCCACAGCTTGATGTTGTAACGACGCTTGCACTCATCGTAGAAGCCGTAGATGCGGTTGATCGAGGCACACTCGTGGTTGCCACGGAGGATGAAGAAGTTCTCCGGGTACTTGATCTTGTAGGCGAGCAGAAGGCAGATAGTCTCCAGCGACTGCTTGCCACGATCAACGTAGTCACCCAGGAAGAGGTAGTTGGCTTCCGGAGGGAAACCGCCGTATTCGAAGAGGCGCAGCAGGTCATAGTACTGTCCGTGGATGTCACCGCAGATCTAAGGCTGTCAGCTCTGCCGAAAGAACCGGACGCATGCGTGAGGTGCTCGATCACTGACCTTGATGGGAGCCTCAAGCTCGAGCAGGATGGGCTGAGAAATGAAGATCTCGCGAGCCTTGGTGCAGAGATAACGGATCTCGGACTCGAGAAGCTGGACCTGCTTACCGGGCCTGCTTCCTCGGACCTCGAGAAGACGGTCGATCACGTTGTCGAGATCGATCTCATGTTGGTCTGCCATCTTTTATTCCTCACCAGCCAGTGACTTGGCCGAAGATTGTGAAGAATTCGTGGAGCGCCTGCAATTTACAAAGGATGTAGTTGAGGCTTGCGGGTGTGCACGAGACAGCCGGCCTGCGTGTCGGATTCGATGCACTTCTTGGGCTAGTTGGGAGGGTGACGCATGTCAGCAATCGTCGCACGAGGTTTGCTTCAAATGCGGCGACCAAAGGGCGCCAAGTGGTTATCAACACCAGCATCGATGGCGACGGGGTGCGTGCATTCAAGTGTTGAAGGGCAGCATGCGAAGGCCGGACAGGGAGGGAGAGGCCCGCGGACGACAACGACGGTGAGGATCATCAGTGAGAAGACTTACGGGAGACGAAGTGATCTTGGCTCTATCAGGGCACGTCCGCGAAGAGACAAAAAATGTCGTGATGACAAAAACAACAACGATCCGCGACGTGCTGTGCTCGTGAGACAACTGTTCGTCAGATGGCGCGGATTGTTATGGTGATGATGATTCGCCTTGATCCCGTGGGGGACGTGTTCGCCTTGATGGGGAGGGAGTCGTCTTGTCGATGCAAGAGAGTCGTCGTCGCCGTTATCGTCGGGGAAGGGTCGGTAGCTGGTGCAGCTGCGAGCGCCCTGTCGAGTGGAGTCGGGTGAGAACAGAAGAAGCGACGAGAAAAGTCAGTTCAGGCGTCGTGGGATGGATTCGCGTAAGAGCTGAAGGGTCGCTGTGTTTGGCCCGCAAGGGGAGCGTTCGTCGTCGTCGATGGCGGGAAGGGGGAGGCAGAGCCTTGGGGTTGGAGGTCAGAGGAAAAAAAAACCAAAAACCGATGCCCGAGGGGGGCAAGTGGGTTTGAGGGGATGACTTCGTGTTTTGTGTTGAGCGGGTTTCCGACCGGAAGGCGAGGGCGGCGGACGGGCGGGCTTCACTTCACCTAAGCTCACTCAGAGGGGGGCGCTCTGTTGTTGTGTGATGCTATTGATTGCCGCTGGGACGCGATGTTTCTCTCTCGAGAGTGCAGAATGCAGGTGCAGCGACAGACAGCGTAGCAGAGGCAGCAAGCAGGAAGCGCGGGATCGCCGGGGTGGGCAATGCAGAGGGGATTCGGGGCGGTAAACAGGAAGCAGGGTGTGCCTCTCTTTCGCGTGTATGGGGAAGCAGAAGAGGTTTTTCTGGCGATGCACCGGATCGGTCAAGATGGGGATAGCGAAGAAAGGAAAGGTCGGGTCTGAGCCAGGGCGCTAGCAAGGGGGGACAAGGACTAGGCAGGAGCAGTACCAGGGCTTCTCGAGCATCAACAGGCAGTGACGGTGGATGCTGGGCGGGTCGATGGGGGGACCGTCTAAAAAGCTGGGAGGGTGCGAGGCCACTGGGACTGACTTCCCGGGACCTACCTTAGGTACCCAGGTACCTACCCAGGTGAGACGTAGTTAGGTTCCGTCGTAGGCAGGGAGGCAGCTGGCGGCTCGCAGAACCTTGGGCCCTCTACTCTCAGTGGCCGAGACTCTCAGATTTTAGGGACAGTCACCAGCCCAAGCCACTGTGTGCCCCTGCCTCGAGGCCTGTGTTGCACTGGGACCAATGTGCCAAAGCTTGGCCTGGCTGTGGCGGTGTTGGCCGCCGATACCTTGCCTTGTATCAACGACCAGGGCTACCAGATATCAGACAATGAACCACAAAGCTTCGCCGCCTGGCCTATTGTACCTTTGCTGTTTTTTTCTCTTCATCGTTCGTCGTAAAGGCGGTCAGGAAACCGCAGCCGCAGCCCAAGGCATGCGCCTCAAGCATTTCAACGCAGTCGGCATATATCACCAACGCTATTCGCACTTGGAAGACCCCTGTCCCGACTGACGACCCTATATAAGCAGGGAGAACCCCTCATTGACAGCTTCACCAAAAGCCAATCGAGTCAGTGGGGGGGCCGCGAGGAACAACAGATATCTGTCCAGTTGCGAGAAACTTAGAACTGCTTCGTTTGTCAGCCAGTAAAAAAAAAATGACCTCTCGCCTTGGTGAGTCAATCCCCTCCATTTGAATGATCGACCGCCAGCTCCTGTTCTGCCACTCTTTCCGCGCCCTGGCCCGATGCATCTCGTCTTTTAGGCGGCCCTACCATCTGGAACTACCACTAGTCATGCTTCGTCAGACAAGCCGGCGCTGCATTTGCATACAACCTACTTACTTGCCTGGCTACCGAGCTGCACAGCCGCCAGAACTCTACGTCAGTAGTCCCCCCCCCCTCACAAGCCGACAATCGACAATGCGAACGCGCGTGGTCAAAGGCTTCATACCATGATGAGACGAGCCCCGAATACTCATCTCGACTTTTTCTCGCCGCGTAATCGTCTCCGCTGGAGTAGCTCCAAGGCCGAGACCTCCGGAGGACTCGTATCATCCGGTTCGCGCACCGGTCAAAAGCAGGACAGGCAGGCCGGCTTGGCAAGCCAGGCTCGAAAGCCTTGTAGCACATTTTCTCTCTCCTGCAGACATCTGGGTCCTGGAGGTTCTGCTGAGCACGCCAGTCAACCCCTCCCGCAGGTAGCCATCCACTCCCTCACTCAGCCCCTTCCCCTGAACATCAACAGGGTCTTGGCACCGCACCCCTTTCTCGCCTCCCTCCCCCTCCCCTTTGAGGCGCGCTTGCATTACAGGGTGCTGGTTGGCCCGTCGTTTTCGCTCGACGCCCGGCCAGGCACATTTCCCATTCGCTGCTACAGCTGTGGGCACCCTCGAAAACTGGTAGGCAACATCCAACCCAGACAGATGCGAGCCGTCCCATCTGTCTGGCCGAGGGACTGTTCCGTTGCCTACTCGGCAAGACAGCATTAGACGAGAGCAAGACGGTTTCTCGCAGTGATGACAGGAGGAGTGAGAGGCAACGCCTCAATTATGCCGCATTGACAACGAACTGTCTGCACACCGACATGGCTGTTCTGTTTCGGTCGTTAGTGAGAAGAACAGTCGGGCACAGTATATGAATGATGCGTATTTGGCTTGAGATCGATTTGGCACTCAGTATCCAGGCTGGTGGTGACGTGGGAAACCTCTGTTGACGGTTTTGCCCCGCTTCGAGCCCCTCTGGTATGCGTATACTTGGTAGCCCCAGTGTCTACCCGTATTTGCCGGGGCTCTGGTGGTCAGAACTCCAAGGTGGTGGTGGCCCTGGGCGAGGTGGTGTGTGTGACGCCGTCCTGCGCTGTCATGTCGACCCCACCGTGTGTGCTCTGTGCCCGCTCTCAGCTTTGGTGTGTTGAGCCACCAACTCTTGATGCCCCATTAGCCTGGAGGAGCGTGCTTTTCCCCCTCCCTTTTGCTCTCAGCCCCCCCAAACGAGGAACGAGGGGCAGGCACAACGATTGGGGGTGAGGGGTAAAAAGAGCACGCAGCGCCTCCTCGGGGTGAATGATAGTCACATGACCTGAGCCAGACGTCCAACCAGCCACACCACTTGCAACCTTCACCGAGCTGCTCAAGCCAAGGTAGCTGGCAACCTCGCCTGCTAGAAAGGTCCCCGTTCGCTGCCAGCTCACGTCTTGTCTCAGCGCTCACCCACCCCCCTCAGAACACGTTTTCATCGCACAGTTGCCTGGGGAAGGCAGCCTTGCCCCCTCTCCTCTCTTCCCATCCTCTAATAGCATCCAGAAGGTTACGAATCGTAGATCAGATCATCGCTATTGGCGTGTCGGCTCGGCGGGCGTGGGCCCCACTAGCCCGATCCACTGGTCACTGGTCACTCCTCATCCCATATCGACGTCCGCCCTATCGCCGCAACCGTATGGGCAAACATTGCCAGGGACAGGTGGCAAGAGGGGGGGGGGGGGGATACAGGAGCGATGCCGAGGCTTTGACGTGTGTGTGTGCATGTGTGTGTTGGCAACATCTCGGCTTCTCGATCGCGTTTCCCAGGTGTCTGTAAAATCGAGGCTGAAGTTTAGGATATGCCCTGATTGAAGACACCAGAGACTTTGCCCAACTGCCACGACACCACCGTAGCCATTGACGTGACATGGTGGCCGATAATCACCCAGTCCCGACATTCTGTGTGATATGTGAATATAGACGTCAACATTCCGAGAGCCAAAATTGCTCCCGACACATCGCCCATAGATTCTCGCACACTTCACGAAAGTCACAGTCGATCAAGTCTGGCTGGAAAGGAAAGACGTGGAAAAAGGGTTACAAGACTCTACATTTGCAACAGCACGGCGGCCCTCCCCCAGGCCGCGCACCAAGCTACCTTACTACTGACCATCCTTCTCGCCTTTCCTCCCCTAGCCTCTTGCCCGCCAGCCTGATGAACGCCACGCAAATCAAGGCCGTCCTAACGACGGAGAGAAGAACACGTGGGGGCAAAAAAAAAAACACGATACCAAAGACACTAAAGACACTGTTTGCATAAGAGCCCATCTCCATCCCTCCAAGGTCTGACAAAGACTGGGGGATCCCAAGGAGGGGGCCGTACCTCGCGTCTCGCCTGAACGCCGCTCCGTGATATGGATGAAAAGAAGAACACAACAGGAGTAGAAGCAGGAGAGAGAGAAAAAGAATAAAAAGGAGGAAATGGTGACGGCGGGAAAACATACTCATCCCTTGTGGGGTATACTGCGCAACCCTTCCTTTCTCCTCGGCGAAGATGAAACTTGACCTTCGCCCAGATACAAGTACAAAACGGGGTAATTGGTGGGTTCGGAGACCGAAGAATATGCCCAAGGCGAACATCTTGCCGTCTCACAGCTCATCGCCGGCGCGTAGAGCTGCGCGTCTTTTTGCGAACACGGGTGCTCGCCTTGGCTTTGCTGACGATTGTGTCCACAATGACCTCGCTGCTAGCTGCGGCGCCGTTGGGCGATGCCGTGATGGTGCTGTCATCGACGTCGAAGCCCAGGCCCTCAAGCTCACGGTCGTCCATGTCAGAAAGCTCCTCGCTGAGGCTGCGGATAGCGTCGCGCCCAGGCCACTGGTCCGCAAGGATGGTTGTGCCTCGCAGCTTGAAGTCCTTGAGGTGCCAT